AGATTTAGCAGTATTACTAAAGAGTATCCTATACCTTAGTTACTTATAGATAGTTAGTATATTAATAATAGATTTAGCAGTATTACTAAAGAGTAACTTAGTTTTATATCTTAACTTCTATATAAGTTCTATACATAATAGATTTCTAAAAGTATTAAGCTATAAGATAAAAAGCTAAAAAGAAAGTAAAATATAAAAAGTAAGCATTAACTAAAATTTAATAGACTAAATATAAGGAAAGGAATCTTAGAAAGGTAAAATATAATAGTCTCTAGCCTTAATACGCTAGTAGTTTCTAAGGATATAGTTAAGCTAGAGCTAGTAATTACTATTCCTAGAGTACTACTATAGCTAGGTTAATAAGAGCGCGCTATAAGCTCCTCTATTAAAATACTACTATAGCTAAGTTATTATTCTAGTAATAGCTCTGCATTATAGATATCTAGTCCTAGTATACTTAGTAGAAGTTAGTTTCTAGTGTAACTAAATTATACGCTAATATAGCAGTAGAACCTGCTACCTCTAGGTATAGCTTCTATATTAATATTATAAAGATTACTGCTAAGTCTACCTTAAAGACTACTATAGCTAGGTTATTATTCTAGTAATAGTTCTATATTATAGATATCTAGTCCTAGTTAAACCTACTACTACTAGGAGTAACTAGCTCTCTAGGTTATTATTCTAGTAATAGTTCTATATTATAGATATCTAGTCCTAGTTAAACCTGCTACTCTTAGAAGTAACTAGCTCTCTAAGTTATTATTCTAGTAATAGCTCTATATTATAGATATCTAGTCCTAGTTAAACCTACTACTCCTAGGTATAGCTCTTATATTAGTGCTATAAAGATTACTACTAAGTCTACTATAAAGACTACTATATCCTATAGTATAATATTTCCTAACTAGATCTCCTATTTTAGTATAATTAAGACTGCTAGAACGCCTACGCTTAGTAGAAGTTAGCTTTCTAGTAATAAGGCTTTAGTAAAACTATCTCTATAGTAGAAATAACTTTAGGCTCTCTATCTATCTAGATTATTAAGAGTGTAGGAAATTAGACCTCTAGAAAGCTACTTATAAGGAAAGTAATACTAAATAGTATATTTAAACTATCTTATTTGCAGAACTCTTAGGATATAAATAGCTATAGATTAATAAGGTTAGGTAGTTAAATATAATTAGTACTATAGCTATAGATTAATAAGGTTAGGTAGTTAAATATAATTAGTACTAAAGGTATATATACTAAATATTATATAGACGCAAGGTACTAATTATATTTAACTACCTAACCTTATTAATTTAGTTTTATAAGATCTAACTTTTACTACTATTAAGGTAGTCTTATAACTTAGTAGGTATAAGATCTAACTCTTACTACTATTAAGGTAGTTCTATAACTTAGTAGGTATAAGGTCTAACTCTTACTACTATTAAGGTAGTCTTATAACTTAGTAGGTATAAGGTCTAACTCTTACTACTATTAAGGTAGTCCTATAACTTAGTAGGTATAAGGTTTAACTCTTACTACTATTAAGGTAGTCCTATAACTTAGTAGGTATAAGGTCCTATATACTGTAATTATAATATATTAGCTTAAGTATAGGGTTAATATATATTCTTATATATTAATTATTAAATATAATAATATTAGTAGCTATTAGGTTTCTAGTTCTTTTGTGTTCCTTAATAACTAAGTATTTATAGTAAAGATACTAATTAAAGGCTTACTTCTAATTAATAAGTATTATCTATATATTAGATTCTAATATTATTACTTTAAAGTATTATACTATTCTAGCTTTATATTTTATCTAGATTAACTTAACCTCCTCTTACTTATCTTAGAAGACTAGACTATTAAGGTTAAGAAGGAGGTTAGAGTATAATATATTATTTCTCCTTAATTAAACTAGCTAGTAGGCTATATTAATTATAGCCTACTTTAAAGGTAGTTTAATAACAGAACTTAAGCCCTCTATAGTAAACTTTACAGCTACTAATTTATTAAGTACTAAAAAAGAGCTAAAGTATAATATATTATTTCTCCTTAGTTAACCTAGCTAGTAGGCTGTATTAATTACAGCCTACTTTAAAAGTAAGTTAGTAATAGAATTCTACCCAAATAGTAAAGTAGATATCTATATTAACTTTATACTAGTCCTTAACTTTAAACT